TCTGTAAAATAGCTCAAGAGTTTCAGACACCGGAAAAAAATGGAGTACAGAACAAAAGGGGGATATCAGTTGAATCTAGAAATATGTGAAAGAAAGCACGCGCGGCGAAGCCGCGCCCGCCCGGCGCAGCCGGGCCGTATCAGAAGGAGCCACGCCGGCGTCAGCCGGCGAGGCGACTGGTCCTAAATAAACGCCGTCTTCTTGGCAGTCTAACTATACGAGTTTTTCGAACTTGGTGGCAAATCGGTCCATGAGGCCTTGCGCACCTTCTGATTCACAGATAGTTCCTTCGTATCACTCAGAACTAGATGCCTTCCAACGCTAGGACAAATCAAAAAAGAAACTGCATAAAAGCGAAATAGCAGCAATTATGTGAACCTGCGAATTATTGCACCAATGTTATTGCGCCGCTAGCGATTAGAAGAAACGTCAAAACGCACCTAGCCTTGTGAGAAGGGCTACTTTTGGTTGAGTGTACCGACTGTCCAAAAAAAGCCATCCCACGAAAGCAGAGCAACTCCTGAGCACAAGCGTGTAGGCGGCAACGGCCAACACGCTGGCAATTTTCACGCATGCGAAGTCGCCCTACGACGTTGCAGGCAACAAGTAATGTAATTCACCAGTAAGTCGTTGTCTCGAAGGCAAAAGAGGCCTCACGGATGCGATTCACCTGTTTCTGGGTCTTTATCTTGCGCCTTTGAGAGGAGAAAGTGGTCACTCTATGCAACTGCAGACCTGACTATCAAATGCAGGAAGGCATTTCACGTATGATTTGATCAGTCTTTGGAGTGGGGCGTAACCTTACCTTTGATAGAAACTGTTTTCTTGCTGGCAGATCGTACTTGACCCACATAAGCACTACCTCGTAGACCTGCATGAGTATTCATCAGCGACTGGTAATAAGAAATAAGGACTGAGGAAATGACCGAGAACAAATGTATGACTTCCTTCATAGAAGCGTGTAAGTCTGCATACCTGCTTTTCTGATCGCACATTGAGCTCATCACTTGAAATTAGTTCAGTTAACTGGTCAACTGATAGTAGGTTGAGTTCTCCTGTATTAGAAATGTCCTGAAAAGAAATCAAAGTCCTCCCCAAATCTGAAATTGAAGCAAGGAAGCAAACCCGAAAGTTGTGCAGGATGTATTTCTCAGTGAATTGCAGGAGCTCTGGACATGCATAAGTATCCGCGATCGCTCGAATTTTCAGGCAGTTTGACGAATTTAACCCTTTCTTCAGAAAATTACAGCACTCTTCCTAAAATCACAGATCTGAATCACCGGAAATTTCCGTTTTGTAAAACACTCCAGCTAGGTACAGTGGAGTTCTCAGCCGACGATGGAGCGGTCCTACGAATACGCTGACGAGCGTCCGACGGTTGCGTATCGGCGGAAAGGAGGTGGACTGGGACGATTATCATTATTGCCTCTGCGCTCTCTGACATTGACTCTGCGCTCGAACACACGCCGCCGCACCATCTACTCACTCTTCCGTCTGGACTCGTCGATCGGTAATTGCTAACCTTCCAGTCAGCTGATCTCTGCGGTATTTCTGCTGCATTCCTCTTGTTCTCTGCTTGTAAAATGTGCAAACCGAAGGTGAAAATTCTATTTTCGACTTCTACTCGACAAGGTGATGTGTGCTTGCTGCAACAGATTACATTTTTACATGATTTTAAGCGTGAATCCTCGTTAGAAAATCGGTCCGTCCTCCTATTCTTCGCATTTTTGAACTGTTATTAAAGGCGTGTTTGATCGTTTAACTTCGATGTTATTTTTCCCAAAAGCTGAAAACTCAGAAATCAGTCTTGATGGGCGTACCACCAATCATCCGATCGCGACGGTGTCGGACCGCTCGCCAGCCTGGTTCGTTTAATTCGCTCATCTCGACGTCAAGTCCGCTACTTACACCTTAATAACATAACACTAACATACTAACTTCAGTAATTGAAGCAGGCAAGCGCCCGCCAAAATTTCGAAACGGTTTGGCGTCCAGTGAGCTTTATCTACAGAATCACAAGTAATAACAAGAGCATCAAAGCGTCGAAGCTCCTATTCCACCATTTCTATTTTCCTCTGCGCAAATAAAGAAGTTACAAAAAATATGCAAAATCTTACGATTGCAGTACTTGGCGAAAATTAAAATCACGTTCACTATCCGCATTGCCGACGAGTTGATCGCGCGACTGTGACCAGACGAATCCGCTCTGTCGCTAATGTTGCCCGCTACCAGTGTCAGAAAAAAGTCCTATTCATCACTTGCAACAATTAGCGCTGGAGCGCTTCTGGACGCAGTCGTGCAAATCGCTGAAGTTGCAAAGTGTGAACGCAATCAAAGAAAGACGAGAAACTGAAGAAAGTATGAGCACGACATACGCAAACGGCTTTCTGCCATGTCGCTTGTAAACATAGCATGTGCGCACTCCTTCCGGCTGGCACTGTCCCGATCCACCGGTCGTAATGATGAGACTGTATAAAATATAAATATTATATATATATATATATATATATATATATATATATATATATATATATATATATATATATATATATATATATATATATATATATATATATATATATATATATATATATATATATATATATATATATATATATATATATATATATATATATATATATATATATATATATTTACGTCTGCGATTGATGGGGGGAGGGTTTGGCGGCTACACGAAGCCCTTATTATTGTTCTACCGAGCGACAAACTGCGTCATATTGTTCATCGGTGCACTTAGGTAGGCTCCGAATCGGGAAGCGCAGTGAAAGATTGTTGGTAACAACTCAAGCCGTAGTTTAAAAAAGCAATATAAAACAAACAACAAAAAAAAACAGCAAATTACGACAAGAAAGTTGAAATTTTCACTCAAACTCAACTCAAAACTCAAAACTCGTAAACTCATGAACCAGTAGAAACCAGTTGCCTACCCTTGCGGCGGAATGTGAACGTTAAATTAAATGTTAAATGTCAGTCATTGTCTATCGATGTTGTCACTTAGCCACTTTAACAATGGAGAAAGGAAGAGCGCGCCAACCACCTCATTAACACCCCCTTTATCTGCAGCGAACAAGACTGTACATTCCAGCCGTGGATTACCAGGCAGTGATCTGATATTTCACTCGCTGCGAGAAACGTCAAGAAAAGGGAGAACAAAAGATATTTTCTTCTAGGGCACTTCATCATCAGTTGGATGCCAAGAGCAGGAGTCGAATTTGGTTTGAAAGAAAGATGGTCGTATTTTCCTTCAAGAAGAACACTGGAAAAAATCTTGGGAAACTTCAGCAGGGTGATAGGTAGAATAGTGTGTCATACTAGAGGGGATATCATATGTGTGGGCGCGGAAGGACGTGCCCTGAACTTCCCGTGGCGTCGTTCTGAAATGAGGAAAAAGAAGAAGCGTGACTTGCGTCCTCAATTGCAAGAGATCAAGGGATAGTCATGACAAAGTGCTTATACAAACCGACTCCGCCGATTAATTCAAATATTCCTCAAGCTGTACCTAGGATAAGCTAAGCTGGTTGTAACTGCAGATATCATGGCTTCAAAACAAGAACGGTCACACCTGCGAAGCGCAAAGCTGAGTGACCTAAGTTTTTTGCGTTTCGTCTGCCCTCTTACCCACATACTATTAGTCGTTTGCTCCTCTTCGCCCTTTCCTTCTCTGTAACTCACTGCAACGACAAGGCGACAACAGTGTTTTTTTTGTCTGAACTCTCGCACTGGAGAGTTTGTGGTTGATAGGTGCTTGTAATCGGTCGAAAAATCGATAGTTGCGCGCTGATTGAAGGAGGCATGTCGTTTGGCGCGATTCTTAATTAACACATTTTTTTGCTCTATTTTCGCGATATAATCCAGACCCTTGTGAACAACACTTTCGCCTTGAACGCCACAAAGGTTACGAAAAAAAGTGCTTTGGTTCCACGCCTGTAGTTCACCAAAGTCTACGTCAACACCTAAGCCGAATAATTAACCGAAACAACTACAAAACTAATAAGATTAGAAGGAACATTTGAAAAACTTTTAACAGACTGGGATTGATGTTATCCGAAGAGCACTACCGTACTTGAATGGTTTATCCACCGCGGAGCATCCACCATCTGAAGACACGCCACACGTTCATTTGATGTGCAAACGCCGTCTTCAGACATGCTTGTAGACATGGTAGGCTCATCCGCAGGCATGGAGGATGTACAACTTTCGCAGCTCAAAAATGCGTGCACAAGCGCGACCCGCTCGCGACGACGCTACAGCCCCGCCCATTGGCCATGGCAACGCCCAAATTTCATTTCAGATGGCTTACTGGTAGTGCGATTATTCCGCTACTAGCTCTCATTTTTTTGAATGGAGAGAATGAGGTGACATGGAGAAAGATCTGGGACCACCAACTAGGAACTCGTCCAACCACGCCCATTCCTCGTTCTGTAAACGCACAAGCGCGGTTTACGTGGTTTCTATTCCGCGAGTATTTATTTATCTTGCGCTGCTATGCGAAATAACGGCCTGTTCATTTTTTGAAAAGCCGGGATCTGCCTTAAAGCTTCAAGCAAAAACCTCTTACCGTGTCAATTCGTTTTTTTTCACTAGAGAATACCACATGGTTTTCTGACCCGCACAATCTTACTTTCATTTTTGGTAAATTGTCAATAATTTTATGATTACGTTGGCCATTGATTTTTTCCGGTAAAATAGTCAGGTGATTGTACTGAATCAGAAGCGTTTTTAGATCAGTCAGGGAGCACAGCATGCAAGAAATGTGGACTCTACTTCGCTGCGGACGAACGGGCGTGTCAAGCAATGAGAGTGCCACGATGCGGCAGCCGTTCGTCGCGCGGTTGTTGTCACGGGTATGTGATATAGAGTTGGTAGAAGAGAATATGATACAGAATTTTCACTGGCTAGCATCAAGAACTCGTGGAGACCGGGTTTGGCACCGTAAAACGCGCCGCACCGACACGTCTTTTCGTCGTAGCGAACTAGAAACTGGTCTTGCTGTGACAGGGAATACTCCACGCGCCGCACCATCGCATACACCTCTGCTTCCCAGTTAATAAATGTGACCTATATCCCAAAAAGTAGCGTAACGCTAAGATAATGATAAGAGCGTAATGATTCATGACTCGTCATTCAACCCGTTGTCCACAGTCGTCATCCGGGACTTGATTAGGGCGGCAAGGGTCGCGACGCGGCTGCAGCGCGTCACGACCGCGGCGATCAGCTGTTTCCAGCCTAATTTGGCCATTTTCTCCCTAATTTTCACTGTATTTTCTATTTTTTTCAAAGGCAGTTGTTTTATTGTTTTATGAAGTATGAGGGCGTGGAATCCTTTTTTTTTACTTCTGTAATGTTTTTTTGCGATTTTTTTTCTCAAGGTGTTCGTTCAATTGTCTGCCTGACTGTTCAACTGTGCACAAAAATCACAAGAATTCCAGTCATATTAGGTTGTCCGGAAAGTTTTGAGAAAATTTCACACTTTTAGTTTGAAGAAGTGTAGCAAGCGAATGCCCCAACAGAAAGTCATATATCAAGTGCTATGAGAAAGAGAAATGTTTGTAGATCATACTAATGCTGGTTGGTGTTATTCTCCATTGTTGGTATGATTTGACATTACCTGAAAAATGTACGAGCGCGCACGACTCCCAACGCCTTTTACTTCATCTTCACCGTTCTGGCTCTTTTATCGGTCAAATCGGGAATGAGGAACCGTATCCGATGCTGGATAAAACGCGCTTCAAAATTATCTATACTAGGAGATCAATCGGTCTCTTACATGGAAGTTCAGCTTAGATGTTGCGTACGCCCCCTCATTCTCAGTACTCGCTTAGTTCTAGCTCCCACGCAAGGTAATCCCGCCCAAAGATGGAGG